GCATTGGTTGGGGATGGATGGCGACCAAGACAAAACACTCCGCATGTCACCCTAGGCCGAACCCTCACACCCGAGCACATCACGTGTCACTAGCATTGCCATGCTTTGCGTTGCTTAAGATGAAGCGGTATTGCGCGTGCAGTGTGTGGCGATGCTGGGCACTGCAGGGGGGTGGTAAACTACCAAGATCAAAGAAGACCGAGGAACCCGAGGAACGCATCAAGGAATCAAGACCAAGGAACCCGATGAACGCAGCAAAGAACCACGACCAACGATGTTCCTGACGTTCCTTAATGTATGGTGAACATTCTCGCTCTCCCCAGCCTCTGACAACCCAAGACGCCAACGGGACCCAGTATGTTCCCAAAAGACCTCCGAGACCACCCCAAAACGTCCCAAGAGGCTCTCAAGATGACCCGAAGACGGACTACGAGACCTCCACCATCAACCTAAAAAACTGTCCCGTCGGTACCCTCACGCCCTACTCCTGTTCATAACCGTGACTGTGTGTTCCCTGCTCTTATGTACGCATGCGCACTTCATCCATCTCTCTTTTTTCTTCTCTCTCTCTCTATCTCTCTATTCCTCTCTCTGACCCTCTCATTCTCTCTGTCCCTCTTCGCTGCTTACGGTTGCCTCCACGTAAAGCCCGCACTCCTTTGTCTAAGAGATAAGTATGATTTCAAACACTCGGGAACCTTGTAATATCTAATGTGTTCTCTACTCTCTCGGATCAAGTATCCTCACAACTCTCTGACCCCTCTACTTTTTACGATCAATGTCCTGAGGCAACTGGCCACATCCAAGACCTTCAAACCCAAACCAATCTGACACTGCAAGGAAGCCCGGAACCAAGAACCCGGGAACCCATAGGAATCTGGCCGCCCACCGCCCACCGAAACCTGACTCTGCCAGGATCACCGGAACCGAAAACCGGGGATCAGGCAGCCCTGGGAACCCCTAGGAACCCGGCCGCCAACGGAAATCGGCGCCGCACCTTCGCCTACTCTTCCATCATCCGCTAGGACCCCTTCAATGCAAGCACAGATTGGGGAAACACTGCACATACATAATTTCTAAGATGCCCGCGCGGACTTCTCGAATCGGCACCGGACCCCTTTCCCTGGTGCGAGACACGCCAGGGTCGGCGCCTGAGGCACGGCCAGGGGGGCACACCACCGATCCAAAACATCCGCGTGGACCTCCGAGAAATCAGGCTTACGTATGCAGCTTCTTGCTCTTCCACCCTCGCCCCTCCCTGCTGCTGCTCCATTCTCCTCCCGCCTCCCTCTCGCATCTGCCCTCGCCTCTCATCTCGCCCCGACCTAAGTCAAGGGGTGTGGTGCCAGTGCTGAAGCTGGCGATGTAACCGATCGTAGATAGCATCGCCATTTCTACGATTGGCACCACACCCCTTTGTACAGTCGGCCCGGATTAGTAGGTCGACCCTGCCAGCTCAAGGGTACTCTTGTGTCCTGTGCCTCCTCTCCATCGCCCTCCTCCCTCCCTCGCCTCTCCCCTGCGTTTGCTGCTCTTCCCAGCCCTCGTCCTCCCCCGGTCCTCCGTCTCCTCCTCGGCCTCCTCCACCTTCGTCCCCCTCGTTGCCGCCACCCCCACCGCCACCGTCGAACGTCCGTCGGCGTCACCGCCGCCGATGTCTGTCGCCGCTTCTTCCCCGGTCGCAGTCGTCGCCGCTGCGGCGCCGTCGTCGCGGCCGCTGCTGCCCCCGCCGACGTCGTCGTCGTCGTGGTCGTGGGCAGACTTGACTTCAAGAGTGGCCCTGAATGAGAGTGACCTTTGGTGCGCGCCTTTTTGGGGGCCGCGGGGGGACCAAACACACAAGCGCGCAAGACGTTACTGCCGCATCGCAGTCGGCGATCGGGGGACCCTGTTGGGCCCGCACCAAAGGTCACTCCGGCGAAAGGTCGCTCTTACGTATACTTGACAAACTGGCGCGCCGCGCGCCCCGACCGAGACTCCCGGGCGGAGCTGTCCGTGACGGCGAGGGCGCCGCGGAGCGGTCCGAAAGGCGCAGGAGGACTCCGGAGATCGTGGGCGCCGACGTCGCCGCAGCTGCCGACGCCGTCTTTCGGGTCGGGCGAAAGGGGGGGATAGCAAAGGGGGGGGTTGAGAATCAGCTCACGTAGCTGATTTTCCCGGCGCCTCCCGGCGCCGGAGGCGGCTATGTATCGAGGAATAGGCCCCTCGGTGAGGCCGAAACCAGCTGCATGCAGCAAATTTCGTAACCCCCCCTTTCCCAATCCCCCCCTTTCGCCCGACCCGAGTCTTGCTGCCCTCTCTCGTCGCCGATGCCGACGTCGTCGCCGATGCCGACGTCGTCTCTTGCTGCCCTCTCTCGTCGCTGCCATCTTTCCCTCGAGGGGCGGCGGCGAGGGGGGGGGGGAGGACTGGCTCTGTGGGGGGGACCGCGCGCGGCCTCCTCGGGGGCACGGGAGGGTATGCCGAGACCGCTAACTCCCTTAGAGGCCTCCTAGACGGGGTCCGAATAGATGGGGTCGGAGGACCTCGCCGCATCGCCAATGCATCGACAATGAATCGCCGATGCATCGGCGATGCATCGGCCATGCACTGGCGACGTCGGCGATGCATCGGCGACTTTGGCGTGTAGAAGATTGGGCCCCGCATCGAGCCGCATCGCTGATGCATCGCCGATGCATCGACGATGCAGCGCGATCCTCCGACACCATCTACTCCGACCCCATCTAGGAGGCCTAGATCCCTGGAGCTCTCCCGGGGAGGTCCCGTGGCAACTCCTGGGAGCCTCCCATGCCATCTTGTCGGCTTTTACGAATCGACGCCAAATCGACGCTACTCGACACAAGCCGACGTGAAATCGGCGCAATCTCATCGACTTCCAAACGCGAATCGACGCTGGCCGACGCTGAAGACGGAATTGCGGGAGCATAGAATGATGCTTTCCTACCGAAGGATGCGTCGTGACAAGGACGTCGAGGCGATTCCTGCGAGGCGGGGATTTATCCATGTCCACCGCCTGGGAACCGACGTCCTGGTGCCCCAACGGGCGGTGGACATGGATATAGTTCGGCCCCCCGGGGCCCGAACATGCTAACAAAAGCCCGGGGCTGCTCGGCCGCCCAGAACCGAGAATGTCCGAAAACCGAGAAGGGGTCGACGCTTCCCCCCCTGAGTCAATCTCCCTGGAATGTTTGCCCTGACCCCTGCTCCCCGACGACCGAACTGCGAGCGGAAACAATGGGCACGATGCCCAACAGCAAACGTTCCCCAAACCGACTGCCGACGCTGTCGGGCAGGCGACTCCCTGCCCCAAATGGACAGCGTCCGCGGCGACACAGACTGCGACTCTCGTTCGAAACCTTCGTACCTTTCCTTTCCATAACCCTATGCCGGTGATAATCGCACCATGGGGATAAGAACGTTCGGGGTCATGGGAGGATGGAATTGTCCCAGCCATATCGATGTTGGGATGTCGTGATGGGTCGTGAATGACCTCCAAGCTGATCTGGAGAAGCCTTCACCTGGAGCTTGTTTGAAGGAGTTGGGTGAGCACGAATCCTGATAAATACTAGCCACTCTTGGGGGGCCTGTCTGGAAGTATGGGACGAGTACGAAACCTTTTTTTACACAAAACCAAACGTTTTCTGTGGGAACTTCGTTGCGCACGCACACACCGTGGACACTCATATAGAAGGGGAGACAAGGGGGGTCACCTTCAATATCCGCGGCACTCGGCTACTTACGCATCTCGATTGCAGCTTGGTAGCGGCCGGGGGGTCTGCGCTGGATGGGCTCCTGGAAAATACGTCACAAGGGGGGGGGGGGGGGGGCGATGGCAACTCCGCTCAACATGGCTCCCCGGGCTATTCTTGGGGGTCGCATCTGGCCAGCTGTTCACGCCGCGCCCAGGCGTGCCGGAGAGGGAGGCCCTTCCTCCCCACTTGGCTTGTGGATGCCATGACAATGGACATTCGAACAGTCCTATCATTGAATTATCGGGAGCGGCCAGAAGGGGGGTGTCCAAGAGGGGGGTTGCAAATCATGACTGGCGGCATGTGCGCGGCCCAGCGAGGGGGCCCAGGACGCAATGAAATAAGAAGAGGCGCCATGAGATCCGGGGAAATATCATGGCCCACGCCATGATATCCACCCCCCCTAGTCATCACCCCCCTCTTTGCCGCCCCCGAAATTAAAGAGGTGTTTGAAATGTGTGAAACATACACTAAAACATTGTTTAAACATGTGTTCACAGATTTAACAAGTGTTTGAACCATCTTTTAGGCATCTGGGAATAATCTGGCAGCACGCTTCCTCTCCATTGATCGTCCTCCACGACACTTGGCCCTAAGCGATGCGGGGGCACCTCCCGAGACGTGCAGTGTTATCTTGTTCCCAGGCGCGACGTCCCTGGAGGCCTCGGCCCGCTCCGCGGCGGCCCAGTGTTCGCCCCGCCTCGTTTCTGGACGCTCCCGGGGCCCAATGATGGGACCTCGCCGAAAAACCTTGGCCTTGATTTCTTTCAATGCTAGTACGTCTTAGCATGGTGGATGCCACGGCAATGGACACTCTAACAATCCTGTCATCGAAAGAAGGATGTGTTTAAAATATGTGAAACATGTTCTAAAAATGTTTCCAGCATGGTTTAACCAATCGTTAAAACATATGTGTAACAGCTTTTAAACATCTGAGAATTATTTACAGCACGATTCCTCTCCATTGATCGCCCTCCACAACAATAGTAGGACCTCGCAACTTGGCCTTGTTTTTTTCAATACTAATACCTCTTAGAAAAAAGAAGCGGGTCCCGAGGGAAACGGGTCCTCGAACCCGGGGGCACTCCCCAAGGACTAGTTGCTCACCCTGAATCGTGCTCTAGCAGTCCCGGGGTCCGTGAAGGCCCCAGGGAGGCCAAAGCGGGGGGAAACCTCTGGGCCCGCTTCCCTCCCGACCCTCTCGCTTCCTGACGAGACGTTGCGTGTCTGGGTCAGCCCCCATGGCCGGCTCTAGCGCCAAGCAGTTGCTGGGGCCCGCGCCCCAGCGCCGCCGTCCGCACCAGCGGGCTGCAGGTAGTGCGCTGGCGGGGCGTCGGCAGCCTGGGCCCCAGCGCAGCCAGTCGCCGTCGCTGCCGACGCCGTCGCCGCCCCCGCAGCTGCTCGCTCTTCTGAGCCCACTGGGCAGCTTGGGGCTCGAAGCGCTTTTCGTCGCAGCGAGTTGCCGGCCATCGCTCGGGCGTCCATTCCCTGTGCTTTCTTCGGTGTCGTGCGTGGCTGTTTCGCCAATTGATCAAGGATGCTCCTCGATGGTCCTCGCGGAAAGAAAAATGCACACGTCCGAGCCTTAAGTCGGGCACGTCCCCCTACAGGGGGATTTTGGGCGAAACATTCAAAATCTCAGAACATGCACCAACAAAGCTCAAACATATTCTAAGACAAGTCCCCCGACTATTGCTTGACTATTTTTGAAACTTGGTAGCGTCCAAAACCCGGAGAGCAAAGAGGACACGCACTGAAAAGCCTTCCTGGCAAGCCCGCAGAAGCTCTCGTGAAGCTCTTCTGGGGCTCGGGGGGCCCCCCTGCAGCGTCTGAAACGCTGCCAGGAACGCTTCCACGCGTGCCTGCACGCGTGGAGGCACGCGTGGAAGCTTGCCGGAAGCTCTCCCGGACACGCTGCCGGGTCGGGCGAGTTGCTGCGAGGATCGTGGACCGGCGAAGATGGGCTGCTGGCGGGCACCACCACCGCCCGGCTTCTAATCTAAAACCCTCTAGCTCTCAGAGAGCTCTCCGGGAAATTCACCCTGTAGAGGGACGGGCCCAACTTAAACCGAGTCGCGGCCGATGCAACCGACGGGCGCCGCGGGGCGGCATCGGGGGGGACGGGACGCGGGAGAGGCGCGAGAGGCGTGAGGGAGGCGAGCGCGGGCGGCGGCGCAGGCTCAGAGCAGGGAGTTCTGGTGCGTGTGTCTGCCAGGGCACAAACTTTTTTCACGGGCAACACGTGGGTAGGGAGGAGGAGGTGGAGAAGCAGGAGGAGGAGGAGGAGGAGGAGAAGGATGCCCATCTTTTCCTGGGGCCAGAACAGATGATTCTCGCAGGGCAGCATGCAACTCGAATGCGACCGAACGCGAGCCAGCATCTTCGAGCTAGCTCAAATCTTGCCGCAGCTTACGCATCAGATATACATCTAGACTGAAGAGGCACGCAGTGGGTTGGCTTAGGGCTCGAGAAAAACCGCTTGAGCCGAAGTGCGGCCAGGCGGAAAATATTAGCATTGCACGCTCTGTTACACTCCACGGGCTCTGTTTCACAACGCTGCTACATGCCCATCTTTTCCTGGGGCCAGAACAGATGATTCTCGCAGGGCAGCATGCAACTCGAATGCGACCGAACGCGAGCCAGCATCTTCGAGCTAGCTCAAATCTTGCCAACAACCGCCACTATATGCGATCTGGCGGTTGAGGCGGCACCTTCTCCAAATGCGATTCGTGAATTAGTTGTGACCATTGCTGCAGCAGGCGGGGCGGATAGGGCTCGGCGACTTGTGTCCACAGGCGGCCTCCGGGAGCTCTGCCCTCAAGGACTTGATGTGGTTTCTTGGAAAACACACACACGACATTGGCACACTGAGCGGCGAGCGGCGACAACAATCCTTTTTTGTCGTCCCAGCATGCTAGGGTAGTTTCCTTCCGCCACGGCATTCCATATTTACAATAGACTGTGTGCGTGAGGGACGCATGACACAACAGGCGTGCTAGTCCTGGCTGCCTCCACAGCCAGGACCTACGTGGATTCTCCAAGGACACTGGCACCCGATGACGGACGCAAGCTCTGATGATACGAACTGAGGTTCGTAGCAGCTGATTGCCTACTTTGACCTTTTGGGCGTCAGCTCCTGAAAGGCTTGGGGGACCGCAGGGAAATTCACAAGAGCGCAGCGGGCCCCCCGGAGAGCCCGGTTTGCCCCGGCGCGCTCCTGAAAAACTTGCGCACGGCGTGCCTAAATGGACCCATTTGGCCTGCGGCACAAGCTGTAGCACTGCACGAATGGACCTTTCTTTGCTCAAGTCCTGCGAGGCACTATCTCTGATGTCCCATGTGCGTGCTCTCCAGCCCCGCCGCTGCAGCGAAGCCGCGAGCCCTCCCTTTCCTGAAAAAAACTCCAAAACAAGCGGCCTGGCCTGTGCACTAGGCTGAGTCGGAGTCACACGAGGCTCACGTCTTGGAGCCGCCGCGCGAAGCCGTTGGTGCGCCCGTCGCCCAGGGCGCCCTCGAGCAGCTGGTCGGCCTCGGCCAGCAGCAATTGTCGGCCGCGGTGGAGCAAGGCCCGGCGGCGCGTCAACTCCCAGCTCTTGAGACCGAAGAGCGCGGCTGCTACCTTGAACATGGCATTGAAGTCCGCGCCCGACCTTGGAGAGAGGAGATCCACCGGCTGCGACTGGGAAACGATCTGCTCCAGCCGGGGCCCGACAAAAGTTTTTGCGGGGCTGTTGAGCAGGATCGAGTCGCTGAAGCCCCTGGTCGTGGCTGACTGCAGCTCCTTTTTGGGCCTCAGCTCCAGGGACGTGAAGCGGTAGTCGCCCCCAGCACGCGGCTGCGCCAGCACCCTGTGGTCCGCCTGGAGGGTCAGCAGCTCCCTCGGGCGCAGGTAGGCGTCCGCCGCGAGCTTCACGCCGAGGGCCGCTCGCCGCTGGCCGAGGTCGATCAGGGCCACCGCGAGGGCCGCTAGCGCCGCCCAAGGCGCCGGCGCCCACGCCAGCGGCCGCACCAGCCCCCGCCAGCCCTGCAGCGCCCTCGCCATGCGGGGCAGCTTCAGCTGCCTGCCCGCATGGCGCAGCCCTGGGCCGCGAAGCCTTATCGCGGCCCGCAGCCTGGCCCCGCTGCTCGACGGCTCTCCCTGGTTGAAAGGCAGCCCCATGTACTCCCCCACGGCCTTCTTCAACTCGACGTCGCTCGCCGTGGTGAGCCCGTGGGTCCTGCAGAAGACGTCGAACCGATCCAGCCTTCTCTCGTAGTCCTGCCTCGTCGCTTGGGTGATGCCCTCCTGCTCCAGCGTCGTGAGCCCACCAGTCCCGACCGCAGGCACCCTCGCCGCCGCGATCGCTCGCGCGAACGCCGGTGGGGGAGGGCGGTCGCGGCGGGGCACACGGGATCGGCGAGACCTCGTCGATGAAGGCAGCCGTCGCTCGGTCGAGGATGCCGGGCCCGCTGCCGCTCTGACCACAGGGGCTGGGGCAAGCCGACGGCGGAGCGGGAGCCCGTGGCTCTCTGGCAAGGCGCCGCTCCTCCGCAGTACCCTCTTGCGCAGGGGGCCGCCAGGCCCGCGCGCGCCATCCCTCTCGGGAAGCGCTCGAGCAGGCCTCGGCTGCCTCTCCAGCGGGCCGCCGTCGCCAGGCATCCAGCGCCGCCGCAGCCGCCTTCTCAGCGGGCGAGTCGAACCATCGGCTAGGCTCATCAGCTGGGTTGAGCTCGCTGGCCACCCAGCGCGCGCTGGTACGAGAGAAGGAGGCCAGTGACAAAGCGGCCCACTTTCTGAGTTGAAACAGCACCGGAGGTGACACCGCTCGGCCCTTCTCGAGGCTCAGGACCATACCCATGTTGTCGCACAGAAACAAATGGCGATGACGATGATATCTAGCTTGACGACACTTACGCCTCCACCCGAACAGCACGGCCCTGAGCTCCTTAAGATGGATGGCCTCTCTCCTATGATATCTCCTTGCCTGGATGGTCCTCCACGAGCCCTCGCTGATGAACCCCTTGGGGATCTCCGGGAACTCCTGATTGATGCTGATGTCCACGTCCCCGTCAATGAGGTCTCCTAAGAAGCCCGCAGGATAACCTGACTCCTCGCCCCAGCAGCCCTCCGCAGCGGCCCCAGCGGCCCCAAGAGCACCAGCCAGAGGTAGATCCCGAAGCGCTTGACGACGAGGGGCTCCACTAAGGCCTTCAAGAGCCCGTAGAGGCATGGCTGGGTGTACATGTTGTAAACCTCGGGGGCCCATGGGGTCGACACTCGGGAGCCCCGGCGGAGGAGGAGGTAGAGGTCGCCCGTGCTGACTCTCACCCTCGCGCTCGAGCAGCGCTGCCTCGCGCGGGCGCAAGGCCGACTGGATGCGAAAGCGCCAGCGCTCACTCCAGCGTCCGACCTCCCGCGCGGCCGACGGTTCCATGTCAGCCTCCTGCACCGCGTAGCCGCGCAGCGTGGCGTCGGAGCAGGTGACGCGCCCGGACCACGGCAGATCGAACTGGACGGCCAGCAACGGCATGAGGTGCAGCGCGTTAGCCAGTTCTTGCCGCACCGACGGCCAGAGCGGCACAGGCGCCCTGTAGTGCTTCCGGGCAAAGTCGTAGGCCGAGCGGAAGACGCACAACGCGGGGCGATTCAGCAGCATGGCATGCGTGAAATGGCCGATCATCTGCTCGACCTCCCTGCCCGCCACGCGCCGGCGCCGCAGGAGGGCCTGGGTGCCCAGGCCGAGCCTCCAGCGCTTGGCCCGCGCCAGCCGGGCCCGCAGCTTGATACCGTCCAGCTCCAGGCCCAGCGCCTCCACGACCGTCTTGCTCTCCTCGACCTCGTGCAGCGGCAGCCCAGCCTCGGCCATCACCTTGGCCGCCTGCCGTCTCGCACCCCGGGTGGCACCCGGTCGCGACGAGACGAAGATCTCGTTGTCCACGTAGACGACCCTCGGCACCTGAGGCGAGTCCACGCTTGGAGCGATCTGCCTGTCCACCAGCTCGCTCTCGATGCCACCGAGGCCCCCTCGCCGCAGCAGCTCGCGGTGCGCCTGCTGCGTCCAGCGCATGGCCCACGCGAAGCCCATGGGCAGCACCCGCAGGCATGGGTAGACCCACGCCCCCTCTGAGACCGCGAGGCCGTCGACCACCTTCACGCCCAGCTGCCTTGCCCTAAGAGGGCGCATGCCAAACCACGGCCCGGCACGCGAAACTGGTAGAAGCAGTCTGCGGTGTCCTGGATCGAGAACTCCAGCTGGGCGCCGCCCTCGACCTCCATGTTCACCAGCGCCGCGGTGGACGCCATGTGGATCGTCGGCGGCCGCTTCAGCGCCTGGTTGACAGCTCCAGCGCCCACTATGAGCCTCAGGCGGCCCGACTTCTTCCTCACGAAAAACACTCCCACTTCAAATTCGCGACGAGTCCGCAGCTCCACCATGCCGCGGTCCAGCAGGTCCTGCACGAACCGCAGGTACTCGTCTGTGTTGGATTGCAAGGTCTTATCCCAGTACACCTTGGTGGCGCCTGGGCGGACCTCTTCAGCGCGAAGCATCATCGAATTCTCACCGTCGATCACCTCCTGGCGGTCTGGCTCCGGCAGCACCTCCAGCAAGCTGACGCAGCCCGCCGACTCAGGCCACGAAACCAGGCCGCGATCATACGGCGCAACCACAGTGGGGCCATCAGAGCCGTAGCCCAGACTACCCGTGCCGAGCAACTCCACGAAGGCTGCCTCGGGGCTGGGGGCGTTGTCCGGCGGCTTGTCGTCCGACACAGCCTGCCAGAGCATGTCCACAACAGAAAATTGTGCCTCCGAAGGACGGGCCTTCGAGCAAAAGTCGCCCTCCCCGTACAGATTGTTCAGGGCGGCGATGCAGTCGTTCACGCGGCGGCCCACAGCAGACCTGCGGCCGATCCTCTGGGCGGCGCGGCGCGGCAGCGACCGCGCGCCCCGAGCCGGCGGCACGGGCACCGAGGGCAAGGGCAACAAATCCCTCGGCACCATGCGCTCCAGCGGCCTGTTGGCACTGGCTGGGTTCGGCCAACTCCCAACCTCGAAGCCCATCATAACTTCTTCGGAGGAGCGCGCGCCAACGCACGCTCCTCCGCAGCCTTGCGCTCCTCCTTCAGATTGGCCGAATCCCGGGCCGCGGACTCCGCGACCCACTTCAGCAGCTCCAGACCGATGATGGCCCCCCTCGTCCTCCTGGCGCGGCCCAAGCAGTAGTCCTGACCATCGAACTCCTTGATCGTCCCCTTCTTCTTCTTGGTCTTGTGCCCCAAGACCTGCAAATGCCTCGCGAGCTCCTCCCAGCTCGCCAGGTTGGTAGCGTCGACCTGGCCGCACGTGCAAGCCAGCTTCAAACTCTCTGACAGCATCTCGTGGGCCACCACGCCCTGCTCATCATCGTCGAGCTTGTTCTCGTGCTTCCAAGCAGCGTGGCGATGGACCGGGCCCCCGCTCTGCTTGGCAATCTCCTTCTCCACGTACAAAGTGGTCCGGGGCCCAGACAGCACCCAGTCCTCGAACTCGCACAGCCCCGATGAGTCCACCACACTCTTCAGGTCCCCGAAGCAGCGGCAGGCCGCGCCCCGCTTGATCTCGAGCGTGCGGGCGTCCTCCGCGGGCGGCGGCGTCGGCATCCCCCTGACAGCATCCAGCGTCGCGGTCGCCACGAAGGCCCGCACGGCCTCGTCCGCGGTCTCGCCCGGCGCCAGCCTGACCATGATCCACGACTGCAGCGCCGCGCCGCGCGGCCGCTCCTTGAAGCGGTAGTCCGGCTGGCCCTTCGCTGCCCTAAGGCCGGTCGGCAGGCCGCCCCGCGTGCCCGCCTGCCCGAAGTCCAACACGCTGCGCATGTCGATCTCTTCCTCACTCATGCCCTCGTTGGGGGACAGCACCAGATACTTCACCCCGCCCAGGGAGGCGAGGATCAGCCTCTCAGGCCACGTTTCCTCTGCCTCCCCGCTTGTCTCACGAGCAGATCCGCGCCGACACCAGGCACGCGCAGTCGAACGCCCGCACCAGCAGCACCGCGAGGTCGCCGAGCAGGATGCCCAGGCCCCCGGCGACGACCGCCACGCGCAGCGGCACCGGCGCCTCCAGCAGCCAGACTCGGAGAGGCCGGCGCTGGCGCAGGTCGACAGCGCCAGGGCACAAGGAGGGACCTGCAATCCACTGCTGGTGGCCTCGAGTGTGGAGGCTTTGGAGAAGGTGGCCAGGCCGAAATCTCCCACACGCCGCCTCGAGAAAAACCGCTTGAGCCGAAGTGCGGCCAGGCGGAAAATATTAGCATTGCGCGCTCTGTTACACTCCACGGGCTCTGTTTCACAACGCTGCTACAGGAGAATCGCAGGGCGCTCCTGATGGTCTGTCGGGAGGTGGCCGTGGGACGGGGTGGCGGCAAGCGCCAGAATGCCAGGGAGCCTCGACGCCAAGAGACCGCGCATAGGACTCGATACACACACACACCGCGTCTCCTGGTCCGCCCTGCAGACGGCCGTCGTCGCTGCCCTGAACTGCCCTCTGCCCGTTCTACACACGATCGCACGGAGACCGCAGGGAGACTCTCGTCCGCTTTCACTCCCGCTCGCTGTAGTGATCGAGGAACCAGGAGGAGCCCAGAATCGAATCGACAAGTCGGATCGGCGATCGAAATGACTCGGATCGGCGGAAATCGGCAAGCTACTGGGCTCCATCGAGGACACGGAATCCACATCGGAATCCGAAGTCGAATCGAGTCGGCATCGGAGGCCATCGCAACCGAATCGAATCGAATCGGGAAAATCGAGCTGTGCCCTGAGGAACACATGGCGCCGAGCGAGCAGTGCGTACAATTATCAGCTTCCGGGCGGCTGCCTCCCGAGGGGGTATCCCCGCAGGGCCATATCGAGAGCTCCATCCTGCGAGATCCACCGCTGCCCTCTGCCCTCCGATCTAGAGGCACGCTCGTCGTCGATCCTGGAGCTCCCCGAGTTGGCCCAAGGGTTATGTTGTTCCCATCGTGCTCAAGGACCACATCCCAATCATAATTTCGATCACCCAGAAAGGTGTCGAACGAGTATGGCCTCCCAGTTCCCCAAGCGTGAAAAACCTCCAGTCTCGGTACTTCCTTGGTGCTCGACATTCCTTCTGGCGATCAAGGCTGAAATAGGTTGGCACCTCATAACCTAAGGGGGTTCTCCGTGCCCCCCCAGGGCCCTCTGGGGGACTCGAAACCTCCGTACGGCACCTGCTAGCAGGCCAACATGTTTTCTTCGACGTGCCTGCTGCAAGGCAAGGCGTCAGCGCACCCAGGGAAGCTGCAGCCGTGGGCGATCCGCGTGCCCGGGGCCCAAATCCAGTGCCACGGGCGCTGCAAATGCTACCAGCGGCAGGGCGAGGACGCCAAGCCGCTTGGTGCACAAAGAAAACGGCCGGTTGCACCTCACCCAGCTGGTGGATAGAGCTCCTGACAGCGTGCCCCGTGGAGTCTGTGGCATTGACACCATGAGAACAAGTGCCAGGACCCCACCCACAGGAGAGGAGAACGAGGAGGAGGAGGAGGAGGACGAAAGGAGGAGGAAAAAGAAGGGGGGAGGAAGGTCCGACTCTCCCTTTTTCCCAGGAAGTGGCGCAAGGCCGCTCTGGCGAAGGCCAACATCTTACGTATAGCCGATCCCTGCCCACTGGCCGTCTCTTCTCCTGGAGAGGACGGAGAAGAGTTGAGGATCGGGATCGACGCTCCTCGAGGAGGGGGGGAGGAGAAAGGATGAGGAGGAGGAGGCGGAGGAGGAAGAGAAAGGTTCCAGATTCAAGCCCCCAGACATCCGACGATGTGATTCTCAATGCGCGGCCCCGATCGGGTCCGACTCCTTCCCCGGGAGGAGTTCTTCGTGCCGCATCAATCTTGGCTGGACCAGGGGCCCGATATAACGAGGCGCGGAGGCCGAAACCGAGGCGACAAACTCTGGAGCTCAACAACCAAAAGCACATCGTCGGAGACCTGAGGCTTGGGGGGGCGCAGCGGCCGCTCTGGCGAAGGGCCACACCTGCGTGGCCGCGTTCCTTCGGAGTCCAGCGGTGCTACTTGCATGCACCGTTGGGTGTGGGTCGTGGCGAGGCCCGAATGGAGATCTGGCCTTCACACAGGTCAGGCTCACCCGTGCGCCTTCACACAGGTGGCAGCGGAAGGCGAGACGCCAAGAAACCAACAATTCGCCAGAATCTACAGAGACAACGCCCACTGGGAGTCCCAGAACTGTGGTGACAGACCCGGCGGTGACCTCGAAATCCGCGAGGACCTCACCGCAGGGCTTATCACCACACGATTTTGGGACCTCGGAGGCCCCAGTCGCCCGAGACATCCTCGGAGAACAGCCCAAGTCCCAAAACCGTGCGGTGACCCCGAACGCCCACCGATATGGAACCCAGAGAGGACGTACGCGCCAAACCACGTGCACGAACACGGCCACCGATTCCGGGTGATACGAACGGTTCGTGCACTGCGTACTCTCAAAGCGAACCGACTCACCACACGGTGTGGGCACCAGCGCAGACCCAAGAAATCCGCGCGGAGCGCCAAACGTGGATGTTTGTGCGTTTTCTCTCGGCTATACGCAAGAGTGGCCCTGGGCAAGAGCGACCTTTGGTGCGCGGCTTTGGGGGGGCCGCGGGGAGGCCAAATCCAGGCGCGCTAGCCGCTGCTACCGCTTCGCGTTCCGCCATCTGGGGGCCCATCTGCGCCCGCACCAAAGGTCCCTCCGGCGACAGGCCACTCCTGCGTCCAGTCGGTTCTCTTCTTCGACGCGCGGTGTGGGCCCCCTGCTTGCAGCCCAACCCTGCCGACGCCGGGCCTGCACCGTCCCGGCGCTGACGTCTGCGCCAGCGTGCCGCAGCTGGTGGGCCGGGGCCCCCGCGGCGGAGAGGGGACTTCTGCCGCCCTGCCCCGCCCCTCGCGCCGGGGGCGTGGGGAGGAGGCGGCGCCCTCGCTGACCCCTCCACTTCCTCCTCCTCCTCCTCCTCCACCTCCTCCTCCTGCTCCTCTTCTTCTTCTTATGTTTAGTATTCTAGTTCTTATTCAGTTTACTATTACGACTCGTGTTCTTGTTCGGCTTCCTCCTCCTTCTCCTCCTCCATTTCCTCGTCCTTCTCCTCCTCCATCTCCTCCTCCTCCTCCTCCTCCTCCTCATCCTCCTCGTCCTCCCCTTCCTCGTCCTCCTCTTCCTCCCCCTCCTCCTCCTCTTTCTCTTAGGCAAGCCGCAGGGCGTAAGCTCGGGACGCCGGTATTGGCGAGCCGACGCCCGCCCGCCCCGTCGCGCTCGCAGTTGGGAAGCACGCGCGAAGGGCAACTCGTGGTCCCGGGTGGGCGGATCCCCGCCCCGAGCGCCCGGCCGGGCCCCGCGGCGCGGCCTGCAGATTTCACAGGCTTTGCCCGCGGACCTCCCTCCCTCCCTCGCGGGCCCACCCTCGGCGCCCGACGCCGTAGCGGAGGCCGCTCCGCCTTGTCCTCCTCCTCCTCCTCCTCCTCCTCCTCCTCCTCCTCCTCCTCTTCCCCCTCCTCTTCCCCCTCCTCCTCCTCCTCCTCCTCCTCCTCCTCATCCTCCTCCTCGTCCTCCTCGTCCTCCTCCCACCACTCGTAGTCCGCCTGCTGTTCCACTTGCCGATGAGGTGATGGGCCGCGGTGGACGAGCATGCAGCGAGTGAAACGAGACAGACAGACAGGCAATGGAAGAGAAAGAGTGATGGCACAATGGCGAGGACTTTCGGCCTCCTCCTCGTACTGCTCTCGTTGCCCGGGCTCAGGCCTAGTGGCCGCAGCGCCTCTCCTCATCCTGCTCGGGAGGAGGGGGAGGAGGAGAGGAAAGAAGAGTGTGTCCTGGTGTGGGCAATGGGTTTTCGAAGAGCGACAGCCGGTTCCCTTGAGGCAAGCCTCGATAGGTGGCGACGGGCACCTCCGAGATAGCGGACGAGGATGGCGGGAATAGGTATGAAGAGACGGAGAAGGGGGAGTGCCTCCGCCGTGCGGACAGGGGAAGGGACAGGAGAGGAGGGAGGAGGAGGATGAGGAGGATATTGAGATTAATGCAATTCATCCCTCAGCGAACGAAAGCGCGGTCATCTTCCTACTTGCTTCGCTCGGCGGCATGCCAGTGTCTAGCTGCAGTTCGTTTACTCACTGGCACCTGCGGGGATCCCACACGAGCCTCCCTGCAACCCACAGCGGGGAACGAGGAGATTGAGTAGGAGGAGGAGGTTGAGGATGATAGATGTGGGGCTTCTGAAAAATAAACACACGGGTCATGTGTAAGCGTCCGCACACACGATGAACCCACCAATGTGTATTTGATAGGCGAGTCCTGCGATCTCAGCTCACGATTTGGAGGTTCTGTGTTTGAAATCGTTTTGTGATTCAACCTGGTCCGCTCTACAACGCTCAAGCCTCCGTCTCCAACACAACACCGAATAATCCACAGCCCCCGCCTCCGACGTGCCCAAAACACTTCTGCTAAGGGGCTGTGGAGCAATATCCGAAGGAACGTATACAGGACAATGTGGAAAGATCTGGCGGGAGATCTGGACGAATATCTGCGGGAAAGTTGGAAGACTGTCTGGAATGAGATAGGAAGGAGATTAGGGGGGATCTAGAAATAACTAGAAAGAACAATCCAGAGGAAAATCCGAAGAGCATGTTGGAGGAAGATCTTGAGAAAGCACTGGTGTAAAATCTTGGGGCAATAATGGAGTTGATCTGGGCGAAGATCTGGACGAACGTCTGGGAGGAAAATCTGAGGGGAGATATAGAGAAACACCCAGAGGAAGATCTGGGTGGGCGATCTGGGGGTGATGTGTACGAAAATCTGGAGGAAGATCTCAGGAATATCTGTGGGAATATCTGGTGGCATATATAGAGAAACTCCCAGAGGAGATATGCAGGAATATCTGGGAGAAAACCTTGGGAACATGTACGAAATACCTGGGGGACGATATGCAGGAACATCTTGGGGAAGATCTGTATGCGACTCTCGGCGAAGATCTGGGGGAAGATATGGAGGAACATCTTTGAGAAGGTCTAGATGCAAAGTTGGGGGAAGATCTAGAGGAAGATCTGGAGCAAGATCTGGAGGAGGATCTGGAAGCAAATCTGGGGGAATCTGGCTAATGTTTCGGCGAAGATCTGCTCGAACACCTGGATGGTATGGATGGAAAGCCGGAGGAGACCTGAAGGAAGATTATTTGAAAGACCCATTGGGAAATCTGAAAGAAGATCTGGCCGTCCCGAGCTGCCTTTTGACGATCCTGGGGTCCAGGAACGGCGACCAGACGCAAAGAATCAAGAAAGCCATCCTCGTCCGTCCTGTGCCTCGTATGCCCACCACGGGTGCTGCAAGCTAGCTCGCTGCGGTTAGGAGTCCGCATGCGAACCCTACCCCACCAACCCAAGATTTCTGAGGGGGGGAGGCGGGGTTCACTTCGCTTGGGGGTCCAAGACGAAGGGAAGTCCACCTCCCCCCTCAGAAATCGGGTGGTGGTGGGGTAGGGTTCGCAAGTGGCCTCCTCGTGGAGGCAAGCGCTTTACCTGCAAGTTGTTAGGTGAGGCATGCCGCTCTGCAGACCAGGCGCCTCCTTCGTCTTCTCTTCCTGCGCCTCCTCGGCGAAACCACACAAGGCGGCACGGACGGAAACGCTTCGAACTCCGCGCGGATTTCTGCTGCGCAGACTGCACCATCGGCGGCGCTGGAGGCGCTCCTAGGGGGGGGGGGGGGGGCTGCGCCGACCGAAGGTATGCGCACGGATCCCCGAAAATATGCGTTTATGCATGATTTTTGTTCGAGTCTCCTCCGCAGGCTCCCCCTCCTCGCATGAAAGAAACGGCTCCTGCAGGAAAGGTGTCCTGGGAATTTGGGGCCCTCCACTCGCCCCAGAACCGTCAAACAACTAATCAAGGTGGCTCCAGGGTAGGACCCGCCTCTCTCTCTCTCTATCTCTCTCTCTCTCTCTCGCTCTCTCTCTCTCTCTCTTTTTTCTCTCTCTCTCTCTCTCTCCTTCTCTCAGGACCTCGATCAGCGCGGCAGTCGCTGCGGGGATAGGGGGACTATACGCGGATGCTAAGGTGGGTGATAGCTGGCCTGAGCTAGCATAGAAGTGGGCCGAAGGTGACCTAAGTGACCCAGGGTGGGTAGAGATTCGGGCGAACTGGGATCCACCTACTTAGCGAAGTTACCCAACCCGCAAAGCCAGTCAGGGCGCTTGTGGCCCATCTATCATTACGGCCAAGCGAGATGTGACCGACCGCAGCACCTCCGTATAGCCAGCCCCCATGTCCCCTTATCGATCCCCGAGGTGATGCGAGTTTCCTTCGCGGTGATCCTCTGCGGGCCTATCGGGCGGTTCTTCATGGGCGAACAGTGCACGATGGCGCTGAGAAAGGGACACCTTTCGAGCTCCTTCGGGGCTGGACGGGGGTTCTTCAGGCCCCGTCGTAGCAAAACTACACCCCCCCCCCATTCGGCACCCCACCCCAATCATGAAGAAACGCACGAGCCCCCCTCCCGGAAGCCCCGCCAGAGCTGGAAGCTGGATGCCCCCCGCTAATGCATCCCCCCCCCCACCCCCGCACTAAGAAACGCGCGAGCCCCCCTCCCCGAGGCCCCGCCGGAGGCGCCGACAGCTGCTGGAATCCGGACAGGTCCCTGGACTGCGGGTACGACGGCATGCCTGCGCGCCGCGCGGGCGCGCGTGGCGGCCAGGCCGCGGCCTTCGCGGATCCGAGGAGAACGGGGGCGGACGAGGCGCGCGTAGGACGTCCATTGGCGGTGCGCACAAGGGGGGGGTGGAGGTGGGGGAAGGCTTCTTAGGAGGAGGCTGCGTCTTAGGAGGCGCTGGCCCTACATCTACAGACTAGGCCCGCGCCCTCTAAGACGCAGGGATGCTTCTTAGAAGCCTCCCCCCCTCCCCTTGCCCCACTCTGCGTGAGGCCGAGTAGGACGTCTAACCCTGGTCTGGGCGGAGCGACAGGGGCCGCGATAGGCTTCGCGTGGCCCTGGTGCTGTCGCGGGAGCCCTGGGCTTGAGCATGGGCGGCGTGCGCGCGGGAGCCCCTTCCTCGCCTCTGGGTTCTTGGCACGGGACTCTCCGACCCATCGCACGTCGGGTCGCCGTTGAGCCAGCTCGGGCCTCCTGGACTTCACAGCCAGGAGCCAGGGCTCTGCCTTGCCTGGCCCGTCCTGGCTCTGCTGCGCTCCGAAGTGCCCCCGGGTACCCCACGGCGCAGGCTCCTGTGGTCACGGAGGTGATCGTGCTATCATTCGGAACGCCGAACCAGGAAGGGGCTGCCCTGGCCTCGGCGGGCCTCGGCCACGAAGAGGTTCCCCGATCCCCGACCTAGATCATGTATTCCAGCAAACGCATCCATTGGGGAGAGGGACGACGCGGCGAAAGGGGAAGAAGGCACGACGGCCAACCTGCAGATCTAAGGAAGGGCCCGAAAGACAGCGCCTTTTTTTCTGCCTTCTGAGCTCGAAGAGGTCCTTCACTCAGCGTCTTGACTGCAGTGGCGCAGACGGCTCGCACGACTCTCATCGAGAGCCTTTGGCCGCCAGCTGCGCTACGGAAGGTCAGCGACCCTCATCTGAGCGGGACTCGTCTGAGCGAGGCCGCTCCTCGCCACGAGCTGATCCCGACGCGACAGGGCCTCCCGGGAGCTCTCGACCGTGTCCCAGGGACCCAGCTCATCGCCGCGGGCTGTCTCCAGTGCCGTCAAGCGGACTCCACACCGAGGGGTGGTGGAGGACGAGGGATGAGGAGGAGAGGAGGAGGAGGAGGCGGAGGAGGAGGAGGCGGAGGAGGAGGGCATCACGGAGATCTGGCGTCGCGAAAACAGTGCAGCATCTTCCTGTGGCACTTCTCGAGCAGGATCGACCCCTGGGGGTCCCGGGGCCCGAACCTGGGCGTCATCCGCGGGTGTGCATCGAAGAACCCCACGCTTGGATCTCGAGACAGGAGGGGGGGTGGACCGAGGGGAGGAGGAGAGCGGCCGCCCTCCCCAGGGCGCCTAGGGCGCCGGAGGCTGGTCCAGGGGAGACTGGTCTTCCGGCAGCTGGCCGGGCTGCCTGCCCGCGCCCACGACCCGAGGCGGTCATCGCGGAGGTCCCTGCTGCTGCTGCTGCTGCTGCTGCTGCTGCTGCTGCTGTTTTCCAACCCATCGAGGATCCAGAACCGAGGAAGGTTTGGGAGAGAAGAGGAGGAAAAGGAAGAGGAGGAGGAGGAAGAGGAGGGGGAGGGGGAGACGGAGTCGGATATAGCAGAAGCAACAGCTCCGTTGCGAAAGTCCGCTCGATGCAAGAATAAAATGGAATCGAGGGGACTCGCCAGTCCACCCTCTCCTTCTTGGCCGCGCAAGTTGTACAGGCATCCTGGGATATTGCGCTGCCGGCATCCTGGTCTCTCAGCCGCTGGGCATCCTCGCAAGCCTGGCATTGTATCCTGGCCGCTTAACATATTGGCCCCTTGTCATCTTGGTGCGCTGACACCCTGGCATCCTAGCATCCCGGCATCATCCTCCATCGTTAGACGTCGGCGACTACGCAGCTGTGCACCAAGGAGATGAGCGTGTTGGTTTTGCCCAGGGAATGCTTGTGTCAAGGGCACCGCCAACACATGTTTTTCGCGTGCGCGTGTGTTGATCACGCATGTGTGTTTTTGAATTTGGGGGGGTCTTCCACCTTTGCGGATGCGGCCCAACCTGGACGCACATTGTACTTCCCGCGCCTTGGCCAGCGCCTCGCACCTGGGCGGCTGCGCGGCCCTCGCCGTCCCCCATGCACCTCGTGCGCTACGTCAACGGCTGCGATGTTTCGTCTACTTGCAGTACCCGTGCTGGTCCCCGCCTGCGCCCGTGGGTGCACCGACGCCGCGACCCGGCGGCTGCCATGTTCCCCGCCGGCGGGGCTGCTCCGCGCCAGCTCCCTCTGGACTGAATCCCGTCCGCCCTGGAGTGGCCCTTCGACAGCTACACAATACGAATACTGCTCTCCTCTCTCCCCTGGTGACGTCCACGAAATACTCGGTCCCCCTCCGCGCATGTGTTTTTTTACACACATGGTTCCCGGGAAACGGGTTTTCGCTCGTCTTCTGTAGCATTGCTGCTCTCGCTGCAACGCTCGCCCCATTTTCGGGCTACCGCTCGTTCCGAATCGTGCTCCCGCTGCAGCGCTGGCTTCATGTCCGCGCTTCCGCTCGTTCCGAATCGTGCTCCCGCTGCTGCGCTGATGTCATTATTCCCAGCGCCATGCCACGGCATGGCTTTCGATGCCTCCAGATAAACACCAAAACCTAAAAAAATGCCCCCCGAAAAAATCTTCGGAAGTACTGACGCATTCGGTGCCGATTCATTGATTTTTGGGTCGCAGAAACCCCCACTTTGGGGCGTCGCCACGCCATGCTATGTCAGGCTACGCGTCCTCCAAATCGAGGTCCCGCTGCAACGCTGGCCTCATTTCCGCGCTTCCGCTCGTTCCGAATCGTGCTCCCGCGGCAGCGCTGGCATCATTATTGCCAGCGCCATGCCACGGCATGTGTTTCGGTCCTTCCGGGTCCTTCCAAAGAAGCCGCAACAACTAAAAGATGCCCCTCCGAAGCAGCCATCGAAAGTGATTACACATTCTGTGTCGATTCGTTGATTTTTTGGCCCGCAGAAGACCCCCGCCAAGCTATGTCAGGCTACGCCGACATCCGACTGTGCGAATAGAGAAGAGATCTACGCCATGGTACCTTAAGGGATGGGAAGGAGGGGTAGGACGTCAGATATGAGGCGAGCGCACCGAGCTTGCCCCCCCCCCCCCCCTGCGGCCGCCCGTTTTGTCCAGTTTTCCCGCTCGCGCCTGCTGGCCACTTCGCCACTACGGCGCCCCCGTTTAGCCCCTCGCTGGTGCTGCAACCTCAGCCTCGCCGCCAACGGAAAAAAAGTGTGCCTTCCCGCCGTCCTTCGAAGGAACTGGTCGCACCCTGGCCATCGCTCGGACGTCCATTCCCTGTGCTTTTTTCGGTTCCGTGCGTGGTTTTTTCGCAGGATGATCCAGGATGCTCCTCAATGCTCCCCGCCGAGCAAAAGTGCACAAGTCCGAGCAATACCAAGCACCTGGCCGGTCCTCTGAACGACGCCGCCCATGGCAAGCTGCTGCCGCCTGCACGCGCGCTCCCCGCCGCGGGCGCACCTCTTCCCGTCTGGGGCTCTGTGCAGATCCGCGCGCGCGGCGGGGTACCGTGGTGGTTGAGATGAGCTGCTCTGCAATCCTGCTCCAGTTCTGGCGGCAGCGGCACCACCTCGCCAGCGGAGGGAACATATGTGGGTGTGTTTGTGTGTGTGTGTGTTCGTGTGTGCGTATGTGCGCGTGCGTTTGCTGTCGATCTCCGATGGGTGAATCCATCTTCTCTACGCCGCGCGGGCCCGGCCGGTGCGCGCGCTCGCCTGACATGTCTTGCGCCGCGCCGCCGCGACGCCACAAAGTGCGTGCGCGTGCCGCGGCAGTGGTTCCACGGGTTTCGTCCGACTTGGCCACTCGCTTCGGGCGTGCGCCTACCTCGGCCACACGAAAGAAGTGGCCCGATGCAAGAGTGACCTTTGGTGCGCGGTTTTAGGGCTCGCGAAGGGCACACATCCAAACGTGCGGGCCAGTGCTGGGGCCACCTCTGTCGGGGATTTACTGACCCGTGTCAAGCCAGACCTGGGTCAGTGAGGCCTTGCAGGATCCTGCAGGAGGACCTCTCGGCGACCGGCTCTGCGAAGGTGCAGGCGGTCCCACTTCCCATCCGTCCTCCTCCTCCGGAAGCTGGACGGCTGGGGGATCAAGACCTGGGTGCCCCAGCCGGGCCCCCTGTGACGGGCCGACGGCATAGTGGCATTGGGCCCCCCATGCGGGAAAGATTTACATATGTCCAAATCCAGTGTGTCATGGACTTTCTTGGAAGGGGCACCGCAAGGACGAAGCGCACTGGATATTGATAAAAAACAAGCCTTCAGGGGCCAGACTTTCATCCATGGTCCATACCCAGTGCGCCTCCGGTTTCTGGGGAAGGGAGCCCGAAACTTCTAGCTGCAGTGGGTACGGACACGCGTCTTGCCCGCACCCTGGGCAAAGGGGGGATCGAGGTCTCCAGCCCTGTCGCGCCTCTGCCCGCCGCTGGCGCACGGCGCCTGGATCGCCCCGCCGCGCCTCTTTGAAGGCCTCTGCCTGTCGGCTCTTCCCCTCGCGACTCGGCCCCATCGTCGGAGGCCGAAGCCCCCCCCCCCTTTGGCGGCGCGCACAAAAGGGGTAATTATGGGGGGAGGGGGGAAGGCTTCTGAGAAGGAGACTGCTCCAAAGACGCCATCCCCTCTCCCCTCCCCCCCCCCCTGCGCGCGGCCGACCTTCTTCGGAGGCCGAAGCCCCAAAGGAGAGGGCCTGCCGAGGCAGCAAGCCCAGCGCCGGCAACCACGCAGCGCGGTCGAGGCCGCACACACGGGGGGCGAGGGGCGGCAGAGGGCGGCCGCGCAAGGAGGGCGGGGAGTGGGCGGCCCGGCCCACAGAGGCCGTGCGCACACCAGATCGACGCGACTCGACGTGACATCGACGCCAGTCGTCGCTCATCGACGCCAACCGTCGTTCGCATTGACCCCTGTCTCCTCCTCCTCCTCCTCCTCCTCCTCCTCCTCCTCCTCTGCCTCCTCCTCCTCCTCCGCCTCCTCCTCCTCCTCCTCCTCCTCCTCCGCCTCCTCCTCACCCGAAGAAGAGGCGGAGGCCGACGAGGGGCTCGATGCATACGCCGCTTCGTTCGGTCGGCCAGGAGGCTCGGTGCACAGACGCCCCAGCCTCTGGAGCCGTGCGATGCTGCAGCGTCTCTACAGCCCGAGCCCCCCTCTGCCGAGTCCTTGGCTCCCTGGCCGACCGAGAGACGTGGTGCGTGCATACGTCGATGAAGGGGCCCCAGGACACACAGATAAATACACACAAATAAAAATATTCCCCATATTTTCCCATATTTTCTGGGTTTCTGTCTTCCCCCCCACTTCCCATATTTTCCCATATTTTCTGGGGAATCGAGGATTAATTGTGTCTGTGTGTTTCTTTTCCTCCTGAGTCGAACCCATCTGAAGGGGGCGGAGCGAGAGGGGTGGGAACAGTGGGCACACCAGGCCAGAGACTGGCCCGCAGCGGGCGCCCCACGGGGATCTCGTGCCTCCCGGACCCGCGGAGACCCGGGGCCTGCTGAGAGGGCAAATGGGGGCGTCTTGGAACCGCTCCCGGCCACCAGCACAGGGAGCAGACAACGGCTGAAACATAATTTCTCGGCGGTCCGCGACGATGTCTTGGATCTGCGCTGGACCACCCTCCCTGGCGCACGGACCGCGTCAGCGGCGGCGCCGGAGGCGCCGCTGGGGGGCCCTCGCCGATCCAATCCAAGAAATCCGTGTGAAACTCCGAAGAAATACGTTCGTGCAGATTTTTGTTCTTCGATCCAAAGCACCCTTCGCGGAAACCTCCGAGGCCTCTCTGAGAAGACATCCTGCCTTCTAAGAGTGCTGCCCCCTCCACCGCGCCACCCCCCTTGTGCGCGACGCCCAGCCCCATGACGCCGCGGCGGCGTGAGCAGACATCGGGACAAGAAGGAGCTGCCACACGGCTGCATGTGAGCGGCCACATATGGCGGTTTCCAGAAGCCAAGCTTCTTTTGCTTCCCCGCGACGCATCCCGGCCAAGCACCGTTGAGAAGTCCTGTGGTCTCCCGAAGCTAGGGCGCCCGAAACCTCGAACCAACACGTTTTGACATCCCTTGGGGGGCCATCCTGCATCTCCGCGGGCCCCCCCAAAGGGCTTCCATCGGCGAAACCGCCACCGTTTCACCTCCGCCAGCTTCCTGATGACCATCCGCCGCCTGTCGCCAAGGAAGAGATGCCGACTGGTCGATGCCTCGGTGACGAGGCCCTTTCTGGAGCGCCCCGCATGGCTGTACAGAGCTTTGACCAAAGGGGTGCGCACCCCTGATCGAAAAACGGGCCGCAGGACCATCGGTCTCGGGGCGAGACTTATTGCCTGAACCGCGCGGCCTGAGGACGAGCAACAAGACGGCGATGACGATGAGGAGCAGAAAGCTGACGATGACGATCAGGTCACGTAAGATAAGACAAGCGCCTGTGACGAGCCGGCGGAGGAGGAAAAAAACTGTTATCGGTTGAGCGCTGAATTGAGTGACGAAGCTAGGTTAAGGAGGCATGGGGAAGTGCCCGGAGTGGCCATCCCCACCTGCGGGGAGAGGCAAGGGCGGCAGCCCTGGTCCTTCCACCGCTCCAGGCATCAACCTCTCCCATCCTCTCGAGGCAGAGGCGGTGGAGTCGGTTTATGACAAATGGGAGGGGGCCAGCAGGTTCGTTCGTGCCACTCGGATGTCCGGTCATAGCTCGGGGTCTCTGGTGGCCGTTCGAGGCGACCAGAGCACTCTTGGAACGCTCTCGGCGAGGCGCAGCTGCCGGATTGCATCCCGAGGCAGGGAAGCCTGCAGGCACTCGCGAAAACGGCAGAACACGAATCTCTGCCCAGCAGCGCAGAGAAGCTGGCAAGGAGGAGGAGGGGGAGGAGGAGGAGGAGGAGGAGGAGGAGGAGGAGGAGGAGGAGGAGGAGAAAGAGGAGGGGAAGGAGGAGCCGGCTGCGAGGGGGAGAGAGCAACGGGTGGAGGAGGCGGGAGGGGGAGGGCGCACGAAGGCTGCCCTCCCCAGTGGGGCAGCAAACTCTTCGGACCCAGCCTGGCCAAGATTGCTATGCGAATCTGGCTGTGACAAACCCGATGGGCCCAAAAGGACGAATACGGTCAACCCGCACACTAAGGATGCGCGATAAGGATGCAAGGCCCTTGGACGCCCATTTCGAAGCGTTTCGAGCGGGGCGCGGCCAACGAAAGTGTCCCAGGATGGCCCCAGGAAGCAAGGATGCAAGAATACCCTTGGGAGGGATGCCTATCCTTACTCTGCGGGTCGACTGTAGGAGGAAAGGGATGACGGCATCGGTGAGTGAATGTGTGTGTGTGTGTTTCTCCTCTGGCTACTTGTTCCACTGGCTCTTGCCGATCATTTCCGCGCCCTCCGAGTGGGGCCTTTCTCCCGAGCTGGTCTTCAAGCCGGCATCGTCTCGCTCCTCCCGGAGCTCGTCGTCCTCCTGGAACTCGCTGTACCCGCCACCGAGCCACCTCTGGAAGAGGGACCCCACCGTCGCACTGGAAGGGTCGCCATCGGTCAGCAGCCTCTCCGTCTGGCGGGCCTCTGGGATCAGCCAGCCCACCTCGGCGTCGAGCGCAAGAGGGGGGGCTGGAGAGGGCGGCCTCCTGAGAAGGCGGGGGGGCGGCCTGCTTGGCAGGCGTCGGCGCGGGGCCTGCCACGGGCGCCCGGACGAGACCGCATATTATACGGCTCCGCACGAGACACCGGGGCGGCCTCGACGTCGCCACCCACTGCCTTCTGGGACGCCCCCCTGCCCTGTATGGGAAGGCCGCCCGCCTCGCCCCCCCATCCCGTGAGATCCGCTGAAGGTCTGTCCCCGGACCCCTCCGGGGGGAGGGTCCACCCAGGCAGCGGGTCGGACCTCTCTGATGGTCGGGGGGCCCCCAAAACGGCCTCAAGGCGTCGAGAGCTGTGGAAACTCTGGGTCCCTGAGTGTCCTGTTGCAACCAGCCTCGAGCTTAGCCCGATCTCTAAGAAGGGCAAGCCAGAGAGCGATGGCAATCTCAGGGATATGCGCCCTCGCAAACCGAGGAAACCCCAAGACCGGCATCGAGACGAGGCGATGCCAGTCATCGGGGTAGGGGAGAAGCATAATCTTCCAAGCTTGTGCTGTTGCGCAGGGACCGACCGTCCCGACAATCCTATGTAGGTCTGCCCCGACATGTCCTTAGAGCCCCTAAAAACCCGAAGAACAAGAACAGTGCTCTTAGAACATAAACCCGACGTGATGACACAACACAGTCTCAGCCAGAAATGTCATCAGAGCATAGCGTGCAGACCACGAAAGGGTCTCACGACATCTTTTGGTGGGCCAGTAGGCGAGCCAAGACGCTTCGCCGCTTGTCGATTCTGTGCCGCGCCGCCCCCTGGCGCGCGCCGCCGGCCCACCAGGACAAGCGGCAGTCCGCGCGGAATTCTCTGGATCTGTGCTGGAACCCATCCCTGACTCGCGGAGCGCGCCAGGGGCGGCGCCGAAGGCGCCGCCGGGGGTGGCCCCTGTGCCGATCCAAGAAATCCACGCGGAGCGCCAAAAGCTCATGTATGTGTTGCTGTTCCCCTTCTTCGAGGTTTGGGACAAGCAGAACAGTCCAGGCTGCTTCTGTTGCGCACTGCCCCCCGGCGCCGGCCCACCAGCAGCAGCGGCACGCAGGGGCCGAGCGCCGAGATCAGCGCGGCCACCCACAGGTTGTCGAACTGGTGGCCCTCGCCGGCCAGCCACGGGGGACACGTCGGCCCCGACGGGGTGCGTCGACCCCGAGGTGTGCGAAGGGACCCCGGGTCTGGGGCCGAGCCCTGGGCTGCACGATAGGGGGGCGTCCACCCTCGAGAGGGGCTGGCGGCGCGCAGAGGGGGGGGAGGGGGGAGGCGGGGGAAGCTTCTCAGAAGGAGGCTGCTTCCTGGAAGGCGCCGGCCCTACATCTGCAGACAAGGCCCGCGCCTTCTAAGGACCAGGGTGTGCTTCTGAGAAGCCTTCCCCCCTCCCCCTATAACCCCCCTCTGCGCGTGGCCGAAGGGGTGCGTGCGAGTAGTCCCCTTGGGGTGTATCCCAGGGCTTCCCCCTTTTTCTGCGCGGCCAAGCTTTTCGGGCGGAGCTCGGGGACGGAGGGCGAAGAATCGCATGCCACGAGAGGCCTCCCCCAGGACCAGCTTCTCATCGCCCATCGCCTCGGCGAGCTCCCTCGAGAGAACTCGGGGACTGGGTGGAAAAATCCGCCTGCGACGAGAGGCCTGCCCCAGGACCACTTTTCCCTTGCCCATCGTCCCGACGAGCTCTCTCTCCCTCTCTCTCTCTCTCTCTCTCTCTCGAGAGAGAGAGAGAGAGAGAGAGTGAGAGAGAGAGAGAGAGAAAAAAAGAGAGAGAGAGAGAGAGAGACCCAAGCCTCCGACGGCGTGCTTTCTCACAGCGCGGACCCCAAGGGGTCTGGACCCCTGCCCCGGGACCGCCCGTGGTCCTGGATAATCTTGCGGCCCAATGCTGGGGCCCGGCGAGGGCCCCCCAGGGCGCAAGGTTGCCAAACGCGGGCCTGCGGGCCGCCGCGAAAGAGAAAGGGGGTCCGAAATCGAGCCTGGGAAAGCCCGAAATCCCGGTTCCTGGCTCCGTCGGGCGCCCCGAGACCCTGCCCCCGCGAGCGGCGACCGTCGGGATGGCGGGAACCGGGATTTCGGAGAGATCGAGCCTGGAAAAGCCCGAAATCCCGGTCCCCGAGCGACGAAAGGAAAGGGGTCCGCGGGCCGCCGCGAGAGGTCACACTAGATTGGGAACGCGGGCGCTCAGGCGGGACACTGCGCGGGCAGCTTGCGCGCCGATGTTGGAGAAGACGACCCCGTGTTTGTTCCGTCGCTCCCTCGTCTCCACGACGAGAGGAGAGGGGGGGTCCAGTAGGGGGTCGAGGAGAAGGAAGACGTCGAGGAGGCCGAGGAGGTCGAGCAGAAGGAGGTCGAGGAGGAGGAGGAGGAGGAGGAGGTCGAGGAGGAGGAGGAGAAGGTCGAGGTCGAGTGTACCCACGACGAGAGGAGGCGCGGGGGGTCGCAGCCGATGGGCCCCCCCCAGGGCAGCAAGGACCACAGCTCCCTCAGCTGTGGCTGGCCTGCCTCGGCGTCCTGCCCGCTGGGGTTCACGCCGAGCTCCTGCAGCAGGAAGGCGCCCGCGTAGCTGGCGACCGCGCCGCCGAGGTTGAGAGAGCCCGCCAGCAGGGCGTACATCGGCGACACGCAAGGGCGGCCCCAAACGTGCCCCCGCGGCGGCATGTACCCCGAGACGGCCCGTCAGAATAGAGTCGGGGCCGATTGGAGAAGACACGCGAGAGGACACAAGACCCTTCCGAGGGCCACACTGCTGTAGAAGGCACGAGTCGCGAAACACTGGACACAAGGATACCCTGGATTGGGCGGGGTCTACCTACTAATCAACCTCGACTGCGTCAAAGACGGCACTGCAGAGAGTGTGATCGAGTGGAGGGCAATCTAGAGAAAGAGTGCTCTAGCGAGAACTGCAAGGGACACCATGCGAACGACTATGGGGGGACCATCCACTCTGCTGAACTTGAAGTCGTCATCCCCACTGCTCGCGCAAACATCCCACCAACCCACCCGCAACTTGGTTTGCAAAACCTGTTAAGACCGACTACGACGACACCGACGACAACGACTAGGACGACACCGACGACGTCTCCGACGACTTCGACGACGACAACGACGCCGACCACGACGAAGACGGCGACGACGACGCCAACGAAGGCGACGACGAGGGAGGAGGAAGGATGACAACGGCGACAACGACGACAACGACGACAACGACGAGGGAGGAGGGAGGACGGCGAGGACGCGAACGACGACGAAGGAGGAAGGACGGCGACGCCGACGACGACAACGACGAGGGAGGAGGGAAGACGACGACGACAACGACGACGACGACGGCGACGAAATAGGAGGGACGACGACGAGACGCCGACGACGGACGACGACGACGACGTGGGAGGAGGAGGAAGGACGACCACGGCGACAACGACAACGGAAACGACCACGACGCCAAAGAGGACGACGACGACGAACACGAGAAAAGACAGAGGACGACGTAGGCGACGACGACGACGACGCGGGAGGAGGGAGGAGGGCAACGACGACGACGACGACGACGACGACGCAAGAGCGCGCGCGCACGCTTTTGTTGAACATCCGTGTTGCGAAACCTTGGGTTTTTGTAGGTTTTTTGGACGCACGATTTTGAAATCCTTCCGAAACCGATGGGCTTTGAAGGTTTTCGGCATACGCCCGCGACGACGCGCGTCTGCACTTCGTCCCAGCGTTTGCAAGAAGGATTCTCGCGACGGCACACGCGCAAGGGCGTTCGACAGATTTCGACATGTGCGCGCGCGAAGCCCGTTTGGTAGCATGTTGTGTAAATCTTGAAAAACCAATGGTTGTCTTAAGATTTCGCAAGAGCTCGCGCGGAAGCTTTTTTGGGCAAATCAGTGTTGCGAAACCGTATGCACCGAAGGTTTTTGAAGGATTTCGGCATGCGCGCGCGACGACGCGCGCGTGTGCACT